GCTGTCCCGGAAGCCAGAACAGCGAGACGGAGCGCTGCGCAGCGCTCCGTCTCACTGTTCTAGCTTGGGGATGGCTGCGCAAAGCCTCCGCAGGGCAGCGGGGTGAAGGCACCCCGCTGCCCTGAGGAGGCTTGAAAGGCTGTCCCCGAAGCCAGAACAGTAGTTTATACAACATTTGATTCAGAATATTTTTTACTTGTTTTCCTCCTCTAAAAACTAGGTGCGTCCTATGCTCAGGTGCGTCCTATAGAGCGAAAAATACGGTGTCTACTTGCACTGGTGTGCTTTCGAACTGCTAGGTTGGCAGGAACTGGGACAGCGCAAAGAGAGCTCACTCTGTCACAGGGATTCAAACCGCCAACCTTCCGATTGGCAAGCCCAAGAGGCTTAGTAGTTTAGACCACAGCACCAGCCACGTCCCTATTCTCCTCATTGCACCAGGGTGACAACAGCTACATGAATACTAGGAACTGAAAGCACATTTAAAGCATATCCCTGCACAAAGAATCTTGGGAACTGTAGTTTACTCATTGCAGAGCTACAATTCCCAACAGCCTTAACATACTACAGTGCTCCTAATTCGTTGGGGGGGGGGAGGAGGAGGAAATGTGCATTGAATGTGCTTTAAAGGCATAGTGAAAATATTGTGGGAGTAAAATTCACAGTTTGCTCCTCCCACAACTGCATTTAAGCAAAAACATAAAACAAAACAAAACAAAAACCCACAACCAAATAAACCCGCCGGGTGTAGCTTGGTCGAGGCTCCCTACTATGGGACCCATGGTGGGCCAAACAGCACTCCCAGTTACGTTGCCTAATACCCACTTTGGGCCAAGTTGTTTTGGCGCCTGATACAGAAAATCCCACAAGCTTTACTGCCTGGGAGGTTAGAAAACATACAATGAAATTAAATAACTAGCTGTTTGCTGCACTTTCATGGCACCCAACATTAGCTGCTTCACTCTATCTGAGGGAAGGGCCAGCTCTGATGGGGCCAGAGTAGAAGGAGAACTTGAAACTGCCTTATAGCAGTTCCACCTAGCCTAGTGTTGTCTCTTCTGACTAGCAGGAGTTTTCCATTACCATCACTCCACAGCTCACACAGACAAGTTTTGTAAGCTATTTACTTATTAGATTTCTATACCACCCTTCATCACAAGATCTCATGGCAGTTCACAAGGTAAAAATACAAGGTAAAGCACAAATAAATAGTTCAAACGAAAACAACAAAATAATAACACACACACCCTCCCACAAACACATTTAAAAGGGCATAGAATATTACGTAATTAGTCAGAGGCCTGGCTGAAGAGGAATGTTTTCACCTGGCATCTAAAAGTATACAGTGGAACCTCTGTTGTTGAATGTAATCCGTTCAAGAAGTCCGTTCAACTTCCAAAGCATTCGAAAACCGAGTAACAAAGGGCTGTCAGCAAGTTCAATGGGGGGGTGTGTGGAATGAAAAACTTGCCTCATAAGCTGTTCGACTTCCAAGGCGCGTTAAAAAACAGAAGCATTCACTTCCGGGTTTTCGGCGTTCGGCTTCCAAAACGTTCAGCTGCCAAACATGCGGAAACCAAGGTTTGACTGTACAGTGGTACCTCTGGTGGCGAACAGGATCCGTTCCGGAGGCCTGTTCGCAACATGAAAGGAACGCAACCTGCAGCGGTGTGCCTGCACACGCGCGGGTTGCAATTCACCACCTCTGTGCATGCGTGTGACGTCATTTTGCATGTCTGCGTATGCGCGAGCGGCAAAACCCGGAAGTAACCCTTTCTGGTACTTCCGGGTCGCCGCAGGACGCAACATGAAAAAACGTAACATGAGGTATGACTGTACAGTGGTACCTTGGGTTAAGTACTTAATTCGTTCCAGAGGTCCGTTCTTAACCTGAAACTGTTCTTAACCTGAAGCACCACTTTAGCTAATGGGGCCTCCTGCTGCTGCCACGCCGCCGGAGCACGATTTCTGTTCTCATCCTGAAGCAAAGTTCTTAACCCAAGGTACTATTTCTGGGTTAGCAGAGTCTGTAACGTGAAGCATATGTAACCCGAGGTACCACTGTATAATAAAGGCACCAGGCAAACCTTCCTGGGGAGAGTCACGGCAGAAAAGGCCCATTCTCATGTTGCCACCCTCCAGAGCTCATGCGAAGGAGGCGCACGAAGAAGAAGGGCCTCAGCTACAGTTCCTTAATTCCCATAGACCAAGAGAGCAACAAGATGTGAACCTGAAAGTGCTGGGGTGAGGAATTGAATCTGCCCACCTGACTCCTGAGGTCCTTCAACTCCCACTGCTTTGACGGAAGTGTGGGGCTCCCTGCCTGTGTGTCATATGACATAAAGGCAAGGGAAGAGAGCTTGCAGCTGCTGCTGCTGATCAGCAGAGGTGGAAAGCCCCACTTCCTATGCCTACACAGTTTGATTTCAGACCACATGGGCAAAGGAAGCATTTCCTGCTGACTAGCAGCAGCTGCAAACCTGTCTTCCTTTCCCCTGTACTATTTGATTCCATAGCATACTGCAAAGGCAAAGAAAGCATTTTCCTTCAAGGCTTGCAATAAACTCCATTCAGCTGATTGGTGCTGACAGCAAGACCTGCAGGGATTGATTGACTGTAACCAATCCCCGTTCAAAGGGGATCAGTGATAGCAAGCCCCACTTTGGACAGGGATTGGTTGCTTTCATTCAATAACCATGGGGCTTGGTGATTGGTGCTGGCTGCAAACCTCACTTGCCAAGGAACCATTGCAGCAAACTTGAACGCTTCCTCTTGTTACAGCTGTGTCACATACGATGTCAGTTGTGGGGTGGGATGGGGTGGTTTGGGGAGAATATGGCCCCGGCAATGCCACATTTGATCCACAGGCTGCAGTTTCTCTATGCCAACATAAGTTGCACACACGAGCAACAGTAGAAAGGTAAAAAGCCATTCCAAAAGTAAAGACAATATTACAAGATTTTAACACTTTATTCCAAAATGCATAGGATATAAAATGGAAAGCGTAATGCTGGTGGTCAACAAAAGAGGTTTAAAGACTGTCTAAAGGCAATTAAAAAAAAAAAGGAGTATAAACACCAACAATTGGGAAACACTTGCCTGTGAGCGCTCCAATTGGAGAACAGCCTTTACCAAAGGTGTCATGGGCTCTGAAGACACTCAGGATGCAAGGGAAACATGTGCTAAGAGGAAGGCACGCTTGGCAAATCCATACCGTGATCAACTCCCACCAATGTCCCCACTGTAGAAGGACATGTGGGTCCAGAATTGGCCTGCGCAGTCACTTATGGACTCATTGTTAAAACTGTGTTTATGGAAGACAACCTTAATCAGCTACAAGTGATCGCCAAAGAAGAAGAAGGATATATTATTATTATACAAACTTAGAAATACTCTTCTGGAATATCCCTTTGCAACAAATTTCATGACCTACGCAGAAAATTTTATGCTGTGTAAAAAAAAGAAGGGGAAAAGTAAATAATATATTTTCCATGGATTATTAATATTTTCAACACCATATAACATTTTTTGCTAGCTTCTATTTTTTTTTGCATTGCCCTCAAATCTGTAGGCAGGTATTCTATATTGTGAATCTTCAAACACTGAAAAACAAATTCATCCTCTCTACAGATGCACTGTAAGGGAAATTAGAGAGATTATTCACTTAAATAAAGCCATTATTTACAGAACAAATATGCTGAGATAGTATCCCTATATTTCAACAACACGCTTTTCGGGGTTGGGTTTTTTTTTTTCATTTTTCATTTAATAATGTACACCTGTGAGTTAAACCTCTATAGCTACACATTTTGGAGAGATGAATTTTTATTATTATTCATATACTCAGTTTCCTATTATTACACGGGGTGGGTTTTTGTGTGAATAATGTTTCCTTAATTTTATGGGACAGGTAAATTGCTCATATCAAAATGTACATTGCTCCAATCTGATATCCAGAATTATTTTTTTAAAAAAGAAAGAAGAAAAAGCGGTATTTCTTGTAAACAGAACATAGAGTCTACAGTTCTAACATAATGTTTTATGCTAATAATTACTTTTAGAAATTATAATCCTGATCATCCCCTGTAGTGGTTCTAGGGGTTGCTCGTGTGTAAGCCGGTGCAAACACCTGGCTGGGTTGCCTGAGTGAATCTTTTCTGTCCGGACAGCCACTCACCCGTGGCTGTCTCAATCGCTGGCAGAATCCGTCAGTGGGCGTTTCTTAAACTTCTTTCAGCAAAGAAGCTCTTTGACGCCTAGTCTCCTCCTACTGTCTCTGCGCGAAACCTTCTGCGCAAGGAGGGTGTAGGCAGCGGAGGACCCCTACTCTCCCCGCTGGTCCCCGGCAAGGAGTCATGGGACCGCCTCGCCGCTTCCCCCATCTGCCCCCCTTCTCCACTGGTGCTACGCTGATTCTCTTCCCCAGAAGATGGGCTGCCTCTCCCAATCCCGGGACGCTCTCTGGAATCCCTCTGGATCTTGTTCTCTCCCTCCAGTACTGATGGCAGTTCCCTGACATCCCCCAAAGCCATAAATATTTGCTAGAAACTCCAAAACTTTTAATAAGTCCATGAATTCCCTGACGCTAACAGAAATTCAAATAATCAGAATTAATGTTACAAAAAAACCCAGTCACTGACACATTATGCTAAACTGGCAAGCCTTCTCACTAATTATTACAGATACAGAAATGATATTCTGATGCTTCATGCTTGTAAGGTTTTTGGAATCTGCATCACTAATCATTTAATGTTCTCTGTGCCTTCATCCTCAAATGTGCTGTGCTAGTAGGAAAATACTTGCATACGGCATAATAGCAGATATATTTTTGTTAGCTCATTCTGTGAACAAATACCTTCCTAATTCCAACCAGCACTTGATCATATAAAAATTAAGCAGTAACCATAATGATGGGATACTCAAGACACACATTCTCAAGATACACGATCTGCATGAATATCAGCGGCAAGTGGCAGGAAGCATAGTTTGTTGAATGGATAGCTAGATAGTGCAGTTGGTTAGAGCAAGGTGCTGACAACACCAAGGCTGCAGGTTCAATCCCTGTATGGGGCAGCTGCATATTCTTGCATTGCGTGGGGCTGGACTAGATGACCCTCGAGAGTCCCTTCCGCTCTATGATTCTATGCGATATGAAAAAAAGTGGAGCAGCCTTTGCCCACATCAGTAGTGACTTATTTAGAGCCTGAAAAGGTATCCTTTCAGTGGTAATGCTGGCATATCGCATCTCTGTGTAGGACTGCCAAGTTAACAAAAAATGTCTACACTTATTTGCACATGAATGGAAAGAATATAAATAGATGCTGAACTTCAAAAACATGGGGCAAATTAGCAAACGAAAGCAAAGAAGTTTTAAAACATGCCAGGTGGCCAATCTTTTTTTTTAAAAAAAGAGTCTCTCTCAGTAACAGGGCACTTAACATGAAATGCCCTCACTCCAGAAGTTCAGCTACTACTGAACTAGGCTACTACTGTGGCACTTGTTCAAAACTTATTTAACTTCCTAAGCTTTTCAGGGTGGAGTTTTTATGGAACAACGCAAGGAATTTGTCAGCTTTATGGAATTCCATTGACCATTGGTTTTATCAGTTCCTCTTGTGTATGATTACGAAAGATATGTGTTGTTTTCAATACTTTTGGAACCCACCTTGGGGTCAAGAGTGACCAAGGGCAAGATATAACAACAACAACAGATCAAGGAACTCTCAGTGTGTTGTCACCTAGCAATAGATTCCAAGCTAAGGAAGCTTTTCAAAATCGGGTCCTTCTCTTTTCTTGCCACCCAGACAGAGATGCGCAGGTAGTCACCTGAAGTCCTCTGTTGCAAAAGGAACCCTCAGCTACTACAGAATCGCAATGACGACCCAGTATGAGGAAGGCAAGAGGTCCTTTTTCCAAACTCAAGGTAAAGGAATGCTATGTCTGCTAGCATAGGTGCCAACTCCCTGGAGCCCTGGGTGCCCAAGCACCCACAATATTCCCCATGAAGGGGCCGGGCGCCCACACATTTCAGTGGCAGGGCCATGCACGCTGCATGGCACCCACAGTCATGGGGCTAAGTTAGCACTCCTGTCAGCTAGGGAGGAGCAGAAGGCATTTGGAAAGGTAAAAATGATTCACCCCAGGTATCTTGACACCACCTTTCCCCCTTGTGCTCTGGCATGTCCAAAGTTATGTTCAATCCTCTGCATTTCTTCTAAGCAAGTAGCGTTCAGAGGAACTATCCCACCAATGAAGCATTATTTATTTAAGGTCCCAGGCTAGGTTACAGCCTTAAAAACAACAATAAAAACAATTTAAAACAGCTTTCAAGAAAGTAAAGACAAGAGACTATCTTTCTCCGAAGGACTGGCAAGCACCATTGGAGGTAATTACAAGGTGGATAAACCTGCTCCTAAGATTTACAAGAGAAGTTTGGACTCCATGAAACCAAAAGTAGAACACTGTCATGGAAGACTTAGAGGGCATACTAGGAAGCTAGAAAAGAACTTTATTATATCTTTTTAAAAAGAACAGTAACAGGAAACTCCTGGCTCCCTTCAGATACCAGTCCAGCACCATCTAGCGACTCAACTATATAATGACATCATCCATATCGACACAATACAAGCTTTTCAAATCTTGCAGTATTTCCTTGTCCCAAATCCTCCGACAGCTCCTGGTTGTTTGAAATGATGTCCATGCTACATTCGTTTATAGAATGATTGCCCGTTTCTGTTGCCCTCATCTGTTCAAATCTGTGTGAGGTATCACCATCATTACCAGAAAGAAAATTAAATGCCAGTTCCTTGGATTGTATTTCAGAACTGTGATTTAAACACACAGGAGCAAAGAAATTCAGAACCAAGGACACAGTGTCCTTTGTACATAAAAAAACATTAGTGTAATGGGCAACCTTACAAAATAATACCATAACGTGATTGATCAAGGGGGGCGGGAATGAACTGCTCTGGGAAATGTCTGAAAGAGGATTGTACTCTTCCTATTCCTTCTGAATTTCACAGCAGAATTTTTTCCCCAGGACCTTTGCTTTGCAGAACTGATGTCATCATGATAAGGAATAGAAGCAGCAGGAAAGGACAAATGCATTAGCATCCTTGACTGTTTCAGGTGAAGGAAACTCACATCCAGATCACCCCAGATCTCAGGAATTATAAGGTTTGCTGTTTCTTCCTTCAATCCATATAATGCCTTCTTGATTTCAAGATTCGCAGTCACTGTGTAAACATTGTTTAATAAAATAATTAGCAGGTGTTTCCACATTTGAACATTGTACTTTCCTAACACACACAATTAGGTGGTTGTTTTTTAAAATGTGGTCAATTCTTGCTTAGACCTGGGGTCCCCAGTGTGACACCCAAGGGTGCCTTTATATACCCTCTTGGCCCCCCTAGGCCCCCTGCCCTTCACATTTTTATTTTAAAACTATTAAACCCCTGACCTAGATTGTTCCATTGCCACACGGTGTGTATAGAATGAGAAAGAGCACGTGTTACTATCGGACTAGCATCAAGCATTCAAATGTCTGAGTTACACAGAACCTAGTATTGTACAGAATTAAAAGGCTGCTAATTTTCTGCAAAAGTGTTATGATTAGGTTAAGACTGAACTGAAATTCAAATGTTTACACACTCTCAATGCAACACACGTTGGCACAATGAAAGAAATCCCCCATATCCTGATCTGTTGTGAAGTTGTTGTTGTTGTTGCCAATCTCTGATCTCTTCCCTTGCCGATAACCAGAAGAAACCAAGATTGATTATGGGCCAGCTCAAAACTCACAATCTCTGTGGATCTGTGGTGCAATGTAATTAGCATGGGATTTTCTTCAAGAATCTATTGTCTGCAAAGTCTTTGATTTCATGTGCTGAGTGACTGATGATCTTCTCCTGCCAGCTTCCTTCCTGCACTTTATCTACTGTTCCTTTATACCACAGGTCCCTTTCTGCCTTTTTGGTCCTCACAATTTCACTGTCTGTAACAGCTTCTTTGGTGCCACCACTCCCAGCAGGCCTGGGATGCCTCACTCACCCGTTGGGCTGAGTGGTGATAACAAGAAGATAAGGAGGGGCATTCCAGCCTGGTGAACACAGCAAGATTGGGGAGTCAAACGGTTTCCATCACAAGTCACACTTATGAACCACCATGTTGCACCCAACTTTGCTTCCCTGAGTCATTATTCTGCATCTGGATAACCTTGGAGGGGGGGGGCGCATTCTTGTAAAATGCAAAAGTAGGTCCCACAAACCAGAACAATCCAAAAATTCATTCCCACCGCAGAATCAATTGGATGAGACTGTAATGGTTTGAGAACCTTTGCTGGCAGATCCCCACTTCCCCAATTTTACTGATTGGTTGCTACAATCCAGCCTATCTGAGTGAAGAAAATCTGCTGTCTGCTTACACTGAACTGCAGCAAATTACCCTGGAGGGAATGTCCACAGAAGTGTCCTCAGGGCACTTGATTAGACACCTTTGTTCTCGCATCTCACGCTTTAATTCTCTCAGGGGTGTTCGTTGTCACCTGAAGCTCTCTATGCCTTTTCCCTTAGCAAAACATATCTAATTTCAAGTAGCGTATCATAAAGGACACAAGCCTACACTATTGCCAGCCATGATTCATAATAAAGCAGAGCCACCTAGTGGTCCCAGTGATTCTTTCTCCTCCCCTCCCTCCCAGAAATCCACGCTGCTCTTTTATTTACAGAAGGGATGGGCGAAGAGTAGATTAGGATCTACTGGCAGATCTCTGTGTGAGTCACAGTAAAAAGCTTTCTGACTTCCAGGGGTTTAACAATAGCAAGTAAAATCTTCAAGTAACCCCCTTTCTATGTTCCTCACCTGTAAAATATTAGCATTTCTTGGTTTCCTTTGGCCATGGCTTAGTGCAGCCCCACAAACTAGCTTTAGAGGTTTCTGTTTAGAATCCCTAATCTGTAGTAACTCAAGATGTTTATGAGGTGCGGTAGGCAATTGCTGTCCCTCCTCCCACAAAGCACTATTGGAATCAGGCTCTGTCCCCTGCTGCTATTTTGCACTGGCTCTGGTTGGTGGACCTCAATGGCTCCTGTCAAAATAAAGGAGATCCCTCAAGCCTGAAGTTTGCTCACCACTGATTTACACAGCCGGTTTTCAAGAGCGACCATTCAACATTTTATTCCAGCGTCTTGGAAATGCAGCAAAGGCGGGTGATTTCAAATACTGCCCTTCTCCCCCCCCCCGCCCCCCCAAACATGGATATTTTCAGCCACCCTAAGAACAAACATTGAAAGCATAGGAACCTGAGTCAGAACACTAGTCTCTCTAGCTCAGTATTGTCTTACACCGAGTAGCAGTGGCTTTCTGGGGTTTCAGACAGAATATGCTCCCAGCCCTACCTGAAAATGCTGGGGAATGAACCAGGGACTTCTGCATGGGAAGCAGATGTTATCCCACTGAACTATAGCCCTTCCCCTTAATGTTTGTGGCTTGTGAGAGGTAAAGGGGCAACCAAACGGCAAATTCTAGGATATATTCAAGAAGAAACTGGGGGGGGGAGTGCTTTAGAAAGTGCATTCATTGTGTTAATTTTCTTTCTCTTTTTTTGTAGTTTACAATTACTAGAACGGGACGCGGGTGGCGCTGTGGGTTAAACCACAGAGCCTAGGACTTGCCGATCAGAAGGTCGGTGGTTCGAATCCCCGCGACAGGGTGAGCTCCCGTTGCTCGGTCCCTGCTCCTGCCAACCTAGCAGTTTGAAAGGACGTCAAAGTACAAGTAGATAAATAGGTACCACTCCGGCAGGAAGGTAAACAGCGTTTCCGTGCGCTGCTCTGGTTCACCAGAAGCAGCTTAGTCATGCTGGCCACATGACCCGGAAGCTGTACGCCAGCTCCCTCGGCCAGTAAAGCGAGATGAGCGCCGCAACCCCAGAGTCGGTCACGACTGGACCTAATGGTCAGGGGTCCCTTTACCTTTACCTATTTACTAGAACAGTGGCCAATCATCTGTTTAAAATGCAACCACAAAATGTCTATGTATCTTCAACACATATATCAGCTACATTGTTGAATTTTCTTATTATACTAGCCACTCAGCATGTATAGAACCAGTGAGCTGGACAGAAACACAACTCCATCTAAGGAATAATCCCTTCCAAAAAGATATATTGAATTAGCAGCGGACAGTTCACAAAATGAAGTTCCGCATCCATCACACCAACGAGACTAATAAAACCCCATCTCTCAGTGGTGGGGCAGAAGTGGGCTAGCAAATCTATCCTGTGCCTCAAACAACAGAGTAATGTTGATAAGCAAAATAGATTTCAGGGTCATCTGCAAAGAAGAAGAGACCATTGTTCAATTTTGGATCTATTGAAGCTGACAGTGTCCCTTTCAGAAGTGTAATTGGAGAATCGCAAGTACCTTGGGCTGGCATTGCAGTCTTTTTCTTCTTTCACGGAAGGCAAATATTCACATTCAGCTAAGAAAAGATTGGAGACAGTGAAACTATTAGCCTGGGGAATTTTGTGAACGTCTGTTCAATTTGAATAGCAATGACTGCACTGTAGACTCCTCCAGGACCTGGACATCATTTTTTATTTTTATTATTATGTCTGCAGCCATTACCCCATTTAAAACCCTTGTGGATAAGTCAGAAGCCATAGTAACCTTTGTTTTATTTATTTTATACATACATATTTATATATGCACAGAGCACCCATCTCTAGCACCTTGCCTTTGTCACAAGCTAAAAATAAGAGGGATAATAATAAATTGCCCAACATACAATTGTTTATGTCACGTCTGTTGTTCTGCTGGATTACTCCAGCTGGTGAGTTTATGTGCTGTTGTCCTTTTCATGCTGTTGCTGGGTAGCACCCATTGAGTAGTGGCAAATCAAAGCCGCATGCCCACTTTGAAGACCCCTAGCAAGGTCAGGGCTTCACTTTTAAAGGCAGGCTCTGTGTCTTCTGCCAGGTACCATAATGTCAGGCTCACCGCAGCTTACTGCATCAGGCAAAGGACAGAGCGCCAAACCCACTGATGCCAAATTAAATGTGAACTAAGCATTGGTGCCTAGTCTAAGGAGGATGGCCATGTTCACGCCAATAAACTTCTCCTATCTGGTGCTGGAGATTGGACACCTTTAAGCACCAGGGCTCTTCACTCCAATGTTTCCGTTAGTTGGTAGTATTTCCATAGTATTGCACAAATTTGTAAAGGTATAGACCAGAGCAGGGGTTGCTAACCTGTGGTCCTCTGGATGTTAGACTATAGCTCCCCTCAGCCCCAGCCAGCATGGCCAACAGTGAGTGATGGTGGGAGCTGAAGTCCAGCAACATCTGAAGGCCCGCTGGGTAGGCCCCTCGTCTACATATTATGGATATGTAATGCCTACCAATTTGCTTACGTGGAGGCCTTACAAGTTGGACATAAGGCAGCTGTGTTTAGTTGTATGGGACTTTACTCTTCAGTCCCTTCTTCAAGAAGCATGAATTGGAAAAAATAGTAGTCTTAAGCTATGTGAAGGATTTTTTGAGGGGGTTAATAAATCCCCCCCCCATTATCTCCAAAAGAATTTGGGGGAAACCAAACAGGACAGGGTATTTTGGGGGGGGGAGGATTCATATCACTACTTGTCGCTAACAGCTACGCACAAAAATGATATACATGCTTACAGAAGTTATTAGTGATTCATACATCAAGTCAAGCTGTGACCCATAAAAATGTCTGTAGGGCATAGGGTTTCATCAGTCCGAACAGTGAGCAAATTACTCACTTTACGTTAACAACAATAGCAACCATAATAGCCTTGAGGTTATTCCAATCCACTCCTTTACCTTGCAAAGGTACATATTGGATCCTGTTGCACAAAGAGCACCTCTAATAATCTACGGAGATCAGATCTCAAGGGAATAGCTACTATCCTCTGTAGATTACCAAAGCCATACGAGTGTAGAAGAGGTCCCTGTAATGTCAAGTAACTGGCATAGAGTGAAAGGGGAGGAAGTTCTGATGTGGATGCAGGTGACTTGCCATACTCAATATCTGTGTCATTATGCACAGTTTTCCCCTTTTGCACAGTCTTTGAACCAGGCTCTAGGTATGCAAGGTCTTTTCAGCAGCTTGGTGAGATGATCCTCTGTTATCAGGGTATTGAGGCTCTGAGGGAGCAATTTGACCGTGATCACCTAGTGAGTCCTTTCTGAGCAGGAACTTAGGGTGCTTCCATAGTGTCACTCTTTCCAGGTGGAATTCAGTGGCATGTCAGCAAATTCAGGCTGTACAATTAAAGTGGAGCTCTTACAGAACAAACCCACTCCCCCACCCCAGGAAAAAACAGACTTTTATCATTGGAAAGTAAGAGGAAAATGCAGTGGAAACTGTGGGATAGCAACTGCTTGATGAGATGTCATATAATCTCCCTGCAAGCAACTCAGGATGAATGTTCAATAAGCAGTTGACATTGTATAACCTTCCCGCAAACATTGTGGAAACCAATCAGGATGAATGCTGAATAAACAGGTCATCTGGAAGCAACCTTGGGCCCAAGTTTCCACTTGTACTATTCTATCCACTAGACCGCAGTGACTTTATGGCACTTTCTGTGGTCTGGGCACCTTGGTGCCTACATGTATTTCAGCCCTTTCTCTGGTTTTTATGTCTTTCTTTTCCCCAGCAGCTATGTTTTGCGAACCTCTTGGAATAAGATATTGATACCACATTCCCAGTGCCAAGAAGCTTGATTTAATATACAGTGTTTGAGGCAAACAAGCATGCAGCTTGGAATAAGAAGCCAGGAGACATAGGTTTAAGAATAATTGGATATGCCCAGCTCTCTTCCAGATTGGACAATAATCACAACTAGCCATCTGCTTGTGGAGAAAACAATGATTTCATTCCAGGTAATGGAGGAGTAGATAGCAAACCTAAAAAGACTGCAAGGAGGAAACGATGTGGTCATAGCAACACGCCTGTAAGATGATCCTGGAGACGGGAGTGAATAAAAAGTGCTAGGAGCCATGAGTCAATAGTGGTGAAGCATATCGCAAATTAATGCCAAAAAACACTCCTTAATACTAAAACACACACCACTCTCAACGAAGCCACTTGCTATATTGAAATGGCTACAAATATTTCGGCTTTGAAATAAGAACTACATCATCTTAAAGAGACACACATTTATTTTCCAATCCCCTCAATATTTAAAGAGCAGTTATCTTCTGCTACTATTTTAGTATTTCAGATTATAGACTTAAATGCATTTTAGAGAACTTAGGCAAAGACGGTGGGAAGAGATGGGCTTGTTAGAAAAGAAAAAGGTCCAAGAGTAGAATGTGATCAATACATACTATTTCGTTTTAAGCTGCTCATCCATTTATCAAGCTCTTCCATCTCTATTTCCATTACAGAGGGTGTGTCTTCTTCAAAAATAGGACTGAGTAAGAAAACAAAAACATATTTTGGACCATGCAGCTTAGAATTGTTAGACAGATATTTTTAATACCATTTTAAAATCAATCCACGTGTTAGGCTGTATTTAAGTATTTAGCTGCCAGTGTGCTTAATTTAGAAAAGAGCATCATTGTGTGAGCTGTTGAATCAATAAATGTTACTAAATCTGGAATAAAGCTAATGCAATAAACTAGTAGTCCAGTAGATCCCGTTGTTGCAATATGGGGGACATCGCCTAAAGACGACAGCCATTTTAAAAAAATTAGATGACTTGTGGTTCTGTCATACTGAAGAGTCTATGTGGCCCTAGGCCATGAGAACAGTTCCACAACTGTTGATATGAACAGGAAGCAGTCTTACCTTTTACAGCTTTCACTTGCTAGTTCCTCTGAAATAAAATGAAATGCATTTCAGAAAGAAGTAAATGATTCATTTAAAAAAGAGATAGAGAGATGGGCGATGGGCTGGCAATTAAATATTGCAGAGTAGAATGCTTCTGCTCAAGATTCGACCCAGCTATACTCCATTCCCTTCCCCCTTTCCCTTGGTTATCCATTCTTGCTTTGTTGATTTGTGATGTCAGATGCTTTTCAATCCAAAATACCCGGAGGGCACAAGGTTGAGAAATAGTATGAGGCAAACTGGGCCAGGATTACATCCTTTACCTTCCTGAATAATTATTATGCACAAAGCCAAGAAGAAGAAGAAGAAGAAGAAGAAGAAGAAGAAGAAGAAGAAGAAGAAGAAGAAGAAGAAGAAGAAGAACATATGAACTTGGAGGCAGCTAGAAAGTAAAATGCAGTAAAATGGATATTAAGCCCAAGCTGAAATTAGTAGCTGAGGTAAATTTAAGATGTTGACTACAGCCAAGCTGCATTAATATTCAAATCAGAGTCTAGCGGTGAACAGGAGACTGGGAGCAATGAATTTCTTGAGGCTAACAGGTTCCAACAGTGAAAGCAACATAATGAGAAGTCAACAACTGTGATAAAAATTGTTTACTTCCACACAGCCTAATGCTGTACATGTGCAGTGCACCTGTTTACGAATAGAGACTGTAGCAGATTACAGATAAGGGGCAAGATGAAAATGCAAACACACACAACACCTAAAACCTGGAGAGAAAGGCATTTGAGAGCACAGAGCAACGAAGGAAAATAAACCAAGGAAAGAGTAATTGCCAGGAGAGATGCAGGTGGATGAAACACCAGATGGAATAAGAGGGGAAACCACATCCATTGGAGGTTAGGATGTGGTATTTTTAAAGGAGGAAACTGTCTTCTGAACAACCGAAAGGAAATGTGTCTTTTATACCTAGGAAGGTATAGGAGGGAGGAAAGGACAGGGGGGAAGGATGTAGGCACTGATTCACTTTTCCCAGCAGAAACATTGATGGTTTGGACCACAGATTTAACCATGCCGTCTCCACAATGCCTCAAGTTCTGTTGAACCCCAAAAATACGCTATATAGGCTGCACCTTTCATCAGTACAAATGATTCACAATTGGTATGACAAATAATTCACAGCATCGTTGTCCTGACCTGACCTCAAGCAAAAGCTCATGGGGTGTGGCAGGGGTACTCCACAAGGCAGCCTGGAGCAGCAGGACCTTGGAGAGCTCTCAGTGAGCCACTTGCTCCAATGGAAGGAGGATGTGAGTGGACCACTCTGTCCAGATTACTCTTCCTAGATTCCACTACCCCCTACCTGAGGAGTGTGGCTACTTAAAACAGGAACAGGAAACCTCAGGCCTAGAGGCTGATGGAATGCCTGGAGGGCCACAATCTGGCTCCACAGGCCCCAACTTCTTCCCAGGCCGCACTCATCTCGAACCCTGCCTACTATCCTCCTTGGGTGTTCTTATCTGGCTAGAATGTGTCCTTAAACTCCAATAATGCCTCTTGCTTTCCTGGATGGAGGGTACTGATGGGGCGTGTGTGTAGAATTGCTCTGCCCACTATTGCTTCTGGCCCTGCCCACCACTGATACGTTGCCCCCAGGAAGTTGCCTACAAAGCAATGCAAAATTCCCTGGTGTACAAATGGGTGCATTCTCCTCTGGGGTTGCTCCCCGTACTGTTGAACAGGTGTTGTGGAGCAAGAAGAGCTTGGCTTCTTGGGTGAATTGGGTTCAGGGAGGGGTGAGTGTTCTAGCAATCCTGGTGCAGCAAGTTCTTGTCTGCCAGACTCAGGTTCAGGATGAGGAACCCAACTGTGTTCTTCAGCCAGTGGTATGGTATTCATGGACTTGACCACTTCAGTTCTCCTCCATCTGAGAGTCCTGGCTATTGCTTGAGGCTAGGACCATAACAGTTGTGTTCTATGGGATCCAGTCCCATGAAAGCATGTACAGTCGTACCTTGGTTCTCAAACGCCTTGTGACTCGAATATTTTGGCTCCCAAACACTGCAGACCCGGAAGTGAGTGTTCTGTGAGTGTTCCAGTTTGCAAACGTTTTTGGGAAGCCGAACGTCCAATGTGGCTCCCGCAGCTTCTGATTGAGTGCAGGAAACTCCTGCAGTCAATCGGAAGCTGTGCCTTGCTTTTCAAAAGTTTTCGGAAGTCGAACAGACTTCTGGAATGGATTCCATTCGAGAACCAAGGTACGACTGTATAGGATTGCAGCCTCAGTCATTGGTGGGAAAAGTAGATCGGGTTCTAATAGTAGATTTCTGAGTAATATGCAGTGCTTTTTTCTGGGGGGATGCAAGGGTATGCATACCCCTAAACATTTTGTGAATCTAACGAGAGAAGAAACTAAAAAAAAATTTTAAAAAAATTAGTTTCTTCTCTAGCATGGTGAATCATCAGTTCCGTTGCTACCCCCGATAGCGGCCTAATTTGCTGTCACGGTGTTTCCTGAGTCCCAGACAGAAGCGAGCATTTAATGTGTGAAGTAGGAGTTGGAATCTAGCATAGTGATTGGTCAGTTTCGTTGTTACCACCTCCAATGGCGGCTTCATTTCTTTTCCCGGTGATTTTATTGAATCAAAATGAGAGTACCCCTAAACATTTTTTAAAGAAAAAAGCAAAAATAATTTGAAAAACAAGGAAAGATCTCCCCCCCCCCCCCGCTGAAATGAAGAAAGCTGGGGTGGGGGCAGAGGAACTAGAAATAAGTTTTTGTGCATGGGGATTGCGAGTTTAGTTTTGGTACTGAAAACAAATTTCTGGGTTGAGAATGTACTCAGTTACCCTGTTCTTTAATCTAGGTGTGTATTGCAGGATTTTAGTCACCCTAAGGTGTCTGCGTCACCCAGGAGATTGCAGCCACAGAGATATAAAAGAAGAACTGCTCTGTTATCTGGGGAGGTCACTTCCTGGTTCTCATGGAGAAGCTGTTTTCAACAGATCTCAGCAACGAAAGCATGTAGCTGTATTGAAACAGCACCAGGTGTTGAAATTTTGCACCCCTAACAATTTTTGTTCCCGGGTGGGCCCCCCATGCTATGCCACTGCATCCCGCTGCCCCCCATCCTAGGAACTGATGTTTAACCCTCATGGAGCTCCCAGCAGCCTTAACAAACTACAGTTCCCATGATTCTTTGGGGTGGGGGTGCCTAGAATGTGCTTTAAAGATATGGTGCGCACTCAGCCAAATTATCACAAGCAGGAGAAAAACACACAACCAAAAACCAATGCCAAGAATTCATGGCGTTGCAACTGAAAATATGCCTGTAGACAGTTGCCCTGTATGTTTAGATACCAATACTCAAAAGCTTCATTAGCCATAATACTATTAAACCACTGCTTGTATATTTTAAATATTTGAATCTGTGCATGTCCAGTCACCATCTTAAAGCTTCTCCCACTGTTACCAGCCCTTTATATTTCACTGTATATTTTCTAAAGGCTCTGCCCCTTTCGCCTTTCCATTGCATCATAAGCAGAATCATTGTCAAGGGAAACATGTCGTTTCCTGGATTGCATTATCCTTCTAGCTGGCGGATTAAAGACATCACAATCCCATGATTCTCCTGCAGCATGTTTGGATCTTAGCAAGCGGTAGGTGCAATTGCCACGTTTATCCTGGAAGACCTTTGTGAGGGGAAATGTGAAGAATAAAATTAATTTTTGAGGCAGCCTTATTTCCTCCTCTTTCTTCATTGGAGAGGCATAAATCCAATACTGTAGTAAGTATAAGTGCAAGTATAAGAAAAATGGCAAGGGGAATTATCTATGGCCAAACACCCTTGAGAAAGAGCCGAAAAGCCAAGAAAATCCCATTATAACTGTCCTGGACAAGAGAGATAAGCAGTGGGGACTAAGAAGCACAGTCAGACCAGGTTAAGTGGGATTTCTTGTTTGCAGTGGAATTGTGTTTAACCAAATAATAGTCTCCTGAGGAATTCAGAAATGTGCCTGGTTTTCAACAACACTGCTCAGCAGCATGGAATATACGAGGCACTGAGGGCTCAAAATCCCAGTGCTCAAGCACAGGCTGCAGAAATCATCTTCCCTTCCTTCCAGACCATGAGCTTTGCCTCCTGTGTCTATTCCCTATCACAGTGTATAGAAAACATACTCTCTTGTGTTTTGGGGCTGTGAGGAATCACACAGAATGCCAGCCTGCACTGATTTGAGACAAAATATATGTCACCCCACAGGTAACCTGAGAGAATATTATTATCATGCATTATATACACATGCAATTGTATGAGCATAGGATCCAATCTTAACCTTCAACCCAATGTCCAGAAGTTAGAGGCACGCTAGCTGCTGAAATCCCCATATGTTGGATTTCTGTTTATGCCACTGTGCAGTTTTTGGAGTCACAAGACTCTGTCTACATTCCAGACTGTTGGAAGTCTCACAGGAGACGGATGTTGATGTTACTGGTTTCCTGTTTCTTTGTTTCAGTTGTTCACTGACTCTCACAGAGAGCAGATGCATATTCTTTCTGTCCTGAGTAGTTAGAAATAAACTTAGCGATGTAGTACATATTTCGGCTCATACACAGTAAAAAGGTAACGGGACCCCTGACCATTAGGTCCAGTCGTGACCGACTCTGGGGTTGCGGCGCTCATCTTGCTTTATTGGCCGAGGGAACCGGTGTCCAGCTTCCGGGTCATGTGGCCAGCATGACTAAGCCGCTTCTGGCGAACCAGAGCAGCGCACAGAAACGCCGTTTACCTTCCCGCCGGAGTGGTACTGTGATGGCCTGGGAATCCGATTCAGAGGCTGAACTGGAGGAATCCCAGCCAGCACAGGAGTCCCCGCCTCCAGGGCCAGCTGAACTGGGGCAGGGCCTTGATTCTGAAGCGCCTGCACCTGTGCCGGATCCTCAGGAGCAGGCACCAGGTGAATCCACTCTGGCTCCGGAGGTGGTTGAGGACTCAGTGCCTACAGGTGAGTCTCCCCCTGGGTCCAGTAACCCTTCAGCCTCTCCTGAACTGCAGAGGCTCAGGGCAGAGAGGCGGAGGGAACTGGTTTCTCCCAGGAGGAGTGCTCGCCTTAAGGCCAGGAGAGGCGGGTCTCCTGGGGGCCAGGACCGCCCCTGGCCTCAGAGAAGATAAAGGCCAGTCAGCCCGGTCCCAGGTTGCGGGAGCAACGTCGTTGAAGAGCTGTTTCGGCCAGCATCCAGTCCTGTTTCCCCAGAGTTCCTGTCCTTGCCCGGCTCCTCGCTGTGGACCCCGCTTTGCCCGTGGAGGACTGTCTGCCGACCCTCTACTCAGGTCCTGGACCTCGCCCCACGGTAACCCCTCCCCTGGACCAGCACAGGTACCTATTTATCTATTTGCACTTTGATGTGCTTTCGAACTGCTAGGTTGGCAGGAGCAGGGACTGAGCAACGGGAGCTCACCCCATCGCGGGGATTCGAACCACCAACCTTCTGATCAGCAAGCCCTAGGCTCTGTGGTTTAACCCACAGCACCACCTCCTAAACTAAAGTTAGACTTAATTCAAGGGTTAAATCCAGTTCAGACATTTACCCTATGTTAGCCAGTTCTCTCCTCTGCATAGCTGCCAACCCCCCGGGGGCCCTGAGTGCCCGAACACCCATAAAATTCCCCATGAAGGGGCCGGGCACCCACAAATTTCAGTGTCCAGGCCATGCACACTGCATAGCACCCACAGCACTGGGCACCCACAGTCACGGGGCCAAGCTGGCAAACCTGCTCCTCCATATATATATAATCTAATATATATATGGTCCTTCACACATCACCCAAGAAACTTTAATATCTACCTTGCTTGGGTGGTTTCTGCTTCCGACGTCTTACAATGAAGACAACTAGCAAAACAATCAGGACTAGAAGCAGAGCAGCAGGGACTCCGTATATCAAAGCAGGATGTAGGTCTTCCATTTCTGCAGAGGCAGTGGTTTCCATTTCCGAATTCTCTGCTTCTGTGGATTTAGTGGCAGTTTGCACACCCTGGTCACTAGTTGTCAAAATCATAACAGATGTAGGTGATCCCAGTGTATTCAGTACAGGTACTTCTGTGGTAACAGGTGATGTCAAGCCATGCCCTGAAAATTCTTCATCTGCCGGTGCTGTTGTAGAGCCTGCCAAATGGGGGGAAACAGGGCTGGGTTAACCATTAAGCAAAATAAGCATGTGCTTAGGGTATCAAGGGAAGGGGTCACCGCAGAATTTTTCCATCAGAAAAAGTAGGAGAACTTTCCCCCTCAAATATAAATAAAGTGAAAGTATAAAAAATAAACAGTATTTTCTATCTTACTGTAGGTTTTGTTTAATATCAGAAACATAACATTTTAATTTACGGTTTATTATTGTTGATATTTTGAATATATCTATGGGCCCCCCAAAATCTTTTAAGTGCTTAGGGTTTCTAAAGGTCTTAATCTGGCCCGGGGGTGGGGACAAGTATATATCATTTTTATTTGGATAACTGGAACTAAAAATAAATTTTAGCAAATGAGCTTTTTAAAAAAATCCATTCATTTTCTGATGCAGTACTCAAGAAGCATCCTTGACTGCATGGCTGCTCAAAAACTGTTATTGGCAATGGGATCTTAGACTTGGTATTTCCCTTGTGACCCACATCTTCTGATTACATAACAACTCACGACTGTGTCCTTTAGATCTATAATGGTTTCCACAGAGATTTGTTAAACCCAGTGTGTTGTAAATCTAGAATCAGGGCGTTGTAGTGGAGCACTGAGTTTGCAAATCACTACAAAGCATTTAGGAAAACAAAGTTGGTTTGTTGGTTTTTTGGGTAAGAAAAGGCAGTATATTTATGGTTTGCTTTATGAAAGCTACCATTATACAATCGTATATGGTATTCAATCCCCCCCCCCCAATCATGAACAAATATTTACAGCATGACACGCTCACAACAAAAAACAGGTTCTTCCAAACAAGGTATACTGAAGATGCAGCACAGAACAGCCCCAAACTTATACAGCTGTTTGGAACAAAAGGGAACAAAATAATTATTATTTTTTTAAAAAAAATCCTAAATCTCAAAAGCAGAATAAAGTTGAGAACTGCTGTGCTGAGCTTTAGGCATACAGCTGTATCTGGAAGGCTGGTAAGCGAATGGCTGGGAAAACCTCAGTTAAATAAGTACAATGAAAGACACATTAAAAATGAGAGGTGCGTGAGACAAATCACTATTTGTTCTTCATTTTAAAGTTTCATTTAAGTTTCCATTTGTCAGAATTGCATCTGTTGTTTTCAGTGATTGTAATGAAAACACCTCCTGTTTTCTGCTGCTTGTAACTTCTGTATTTTCTATCTAAGGGATAAGACATTTGCTTGCATTCTACTCAGGAATCAACAAATCCGCTTGTCAACTCACCACGGGCAACTGCCCTCTGGTGATCCGAACATCCAGCACCACACAAATCCCTGCCCTGCAGATCTCATTTCCATTGCATTTCCCCCAATCAGGTAAGAAATAGCAGGATTCCTTTCCAAACAGCAGGAAAGACTTCCATTCTTCCTTACCCTCTCCATAACCCACACAAATAAGAACAGACTCTGTTTCTCTCCCAAGTTCTCTGTGAATGCCAGAGGATGCATGGGAGAGGGCTGGTAGTTCCACAAATAATGGCTGGCAAGGGAGCCTAGGCAGCATTTGGGGATCCCTGATTCTATTACCATCACAAACAACAACACCCCTTCTCCATCCTCAGGCACCAGACTAGCCAAATTTCAGACAGATTAGACAAAGGGACCACACTTTAAAGGAAAGTAAAAATGCACAAACTAATGGAACAAATTTTCCTTAATTTAGTTTTCATTCAGATATGATGGATTACTATTTCCCATTCATTTATTTGCATGACAATGAAGAAATCAATTATGCTTATTCATTCATTATCCATTCATTATTAAAAGGAATTAACATCTCTATTGAGAAATGAACATCCCGACTACAAACAGGTGGCTTCTGAATTAGCTGTGGCTACTCCAGAAAGTGATCTTGGAGTCATGGCAAAGAGCACAGTGAAGTGATCCAAATTTGAGACCTGGCGCCCTTGAGAAAGCGAGTTCTCTTACTGAATGGAAGGGCAAATCTTTTTTATATGCACACATGCATTGACCAATAAAAAGGCGGTGATAATAGATCATTCACCCCCCGGTATCAAATTCAGAAGGCATTCCGAAAGCTTGATGTTATGGTTGGTGAGATGTAAATATTTGTTCCTGCCTTTGAGAGCAGCACATACTTCAGACGCTTTATAAATTAATTGCTCCCAAAATAACTTCAGTCTAAGCCATTTCACTTTCCCAGTTGTGCTGCCAGACTCCTAGGAAGGGATGGGGACGAGAGATAAAAATAAGCAACAGTTGGCTATGTAACATACCAATAATGCAGTCAAATATCTCAGAAGTCTGCAATCCACATGCCTATGCTAGTACCTTTCCCCATCTTTATTGGACAGAGATGTCATTGTGTCAAATGGGGTCACCAAAAAGTATGAAAGGGAAATTTCACTGAAAGTGCACTACAGAGTTTTAGCTGAAGGATTCAACATAGTTGTTGTTTAGTCTTCGTGACCCCATGGACCAGAGCACTCCAGGCACTCCTGTCTTCCACTGCCTCCTGCAGTTTGGTCAAACTCATGTTCGTAGCTTCGAGAACACTGTCCAACCATCTCGTCCTCTGTTGTCCCCTTCTCCTTGTGCCCTCCATCTTTCCCAACATCAGGGTCTTTTCCAGGAAGATTCATCGTAGTAGCATTCAGCAAATCCGCTTACACCGATGCCAGCATGAACTCTCTGCAGCAGAGGTAGCCAGTGGTGTGGTGGATTACAACTTGACCCAGGGCCAATCCTACCACTAGATAGATTGAGACACTGACCTCAGACAGCAGGTGCTGATGGGCAGAGAATACACAGAGCTCTGTGAACCATGGGGCCTGCTCTGTGCCCCCTAAGCTAGGCCACTGCCCTCAAGTATGTGGAGGACTCTGCCTCATCACCAGTGTTGAAGTGAAAGTCAGATGCTAACCTGGTCAGCATTTGAACATGGAATGGGAGAGGTGCCATTGTTTATATCACTTCGGGTAGCAAAATGTCTTGGGCTGGTCCTGCACCTATCAGCCTCAGCTAGCAAGGCCAGTGGTAGGCATGCTGTGAGTTTCAGGTAGTAAACAGCATCTGGAGGAGTCCATGTTGACTACTCTTGCCCTTGTGGAAAGCTGAATAGAAATGTAACCAACTGGTTAATGTCTTACAGAATAGCCATAAAAGGTTACGCCAAGTACTTCCTGGGAAGAAGAGGACAAGCTAGCATGTTGTGTGTGCTTTAAGGTTATGGCAGTCAGGTGAAATGAAAATCGCATTGATTGACTGGTAATAAAATACCCTTGAGATGACAGATTTCCCTGAGGAGGCCAAACCCAATGCATTTTGCTGCCTAGGATAGAATAGCAAATGGTATCCCCCCACAAAAAAAATCCTACAAAGGCCTCTCCCTGAGAGTACAAATACAAGAATAATTAACTAAAAAGGTAACAATTTGCTGCCCTTTCAAGACCCCCATACCCAAAAATCTGCTACCTGAAGAAACCACCTCTCTAAAATCTATGAAGGGCTGACTCACATGAGCAGGTAGGTAAGCAAATGCCATTTTCTCTCTTTTTAAATTACTTGTAAAACTGTATCGATTCAATCAGCGCTTTTGTTCTTAAAAGGAAAGGAAATCACTACAATTGCCGTGGGATGCCCTGCAATATTATGTGTGTATTAAAATAACTTCAAAAGGGGAATGTCACACAAATATTTCGTTGTAGCCATGCCAGAAACAACTTATTTAAGAAGAGAAAAGCTGTTCTTCCATTTCCTCCCATTAAGAATGTTCCCAACTAAAGGAGAATTCGTCACCTCTGCTAATGCTCCTTTTTATTGGCATGTGTCTTAAGAGACATGGCGGAATGTGTCCTCAGGGGCGTGTCCCCCCTTTTCTAAAGTAACACAGGGAACTGAAAATGTGAGCTCGAGATAGGAGGAGCTGTAAAGGAGAAGGGGGAGAGCGCTGGGGTGGTTTTTAGTTTTGATGGATGGGTTTAGCTTCAGGAATTTGGGGGAGTGATGTTTAAGTCAACATGTGGGTCATCATTCTCCTCTGAGTTTTGGATGTGAGAGCAGGGTGTAAGCAGTGGAGTTTGACTACTGAGGTGGCCTGCTTCATTCCCAATCATTATTTTTCCTTTAAAAAACCCATACAATTAAAATCATAACACTCTCTCTTTTTTTCTTCACAAAGGCCACTTTCATGTACAGAGAGCAGGTAAGCGGAAGGAAAAACTGCAAGTTTTCCACTTGTTGGTGTTTTATTAACTAAGGTAAAATCTCCAGAACAAAAGTCCCTGGAACTATTTGTCTGAACTTTGGCAGGCTTCCCCCACCCCCACCCTGGGGGTACATCCATCCCTCGTGTCTCCAGTTTTCAAACTGGTTGCCCCCCAAGAAATACCTAAGGAAGGAAATGTGATTTCCAATTTCCCACCCCACCCCACCCCACCCACACCATATCCAGGATTCAGTTCCATTCACAGAAGGAAAAGTAGGTCAGTTGCACATTTGATATAAACATTAAAACAAAAAAACCCAACCCTGAACAATTAAAAAAAACTCTTGATAGAGTACTGCAGCCATTCTTGTGAAATAGCTCCCAAGTTAGAGGTTATCCTAAGCATATATGCCCGGAATTAAGGACAATTTGTTAATGAAACTTCATTTACAAGTAAGCATTTGTGAGATTAGGCTACAATTTGGGCTCAGTTAGGAGGATCAGAGACAGAATGTGTGATATATGCATTATCAACCAACCATCAGGCATGTAGGCCCTTGAAGAGAAACAACTAGGACTCAGGAGTCAGTTCCTAGAGAGCTGACTCAAAGGTGTGGCCTGTCTAGAGACGTTATTACTATTTTCTGCAGGCTCCTAAGCCTCATTAAGGATATTCTAACTCAGCTTGAAGTGAATGAGGATGGGGAGAAATTTGATTCCGTTTGGATTTTAAGGTTCAGCTTACAAAATTCTCACTCTCTGAAACAAGATGTGAACAGAAACACAGCCATCCTTTAACATTCACACTTTCTTTGAACATTGCAATGCAGTTCTCCAGCCAAGCAACATGTACATAAATGCATGTATCAGGGTAAAGTGTGCATATAAATGCACATATTAGTGTAAATAAAAGGACTTTGGTCTGATCCAGTGAGGAGGGTTCTTCTGACATTCTTATGAGTGTCAAAGGGTTCAAACATCTGAGGAGTCTTGTGTCTTCATTTCAGTCTTTAATCATGATCAGGTATTTGGAGAGGATCCAAACAATGGTATTATTTTAATAATCGTTGGCAATTTGATACGGAGACAGGCAAGCAATGCTGCCAAAACCAGGAACGTTTTCCGAGCCTGTCGTCAACAAGCCAGCTTGTGGATGAGTTTTATCCAGCACTTGGCTATTTCACAATGAGAAATCTGCTTTCGTTTCTCGAAAGCCATTTCTATCTAAAATGCTCATATATTTTGTCCAGAGGCCTAAGCTAGCATTTGATTTATACTTCAAGTTAATATGCTTTAAAATATTTGGGTTTCTCTTCCTTGAAACTTGTCTGAGCAAGAAACCGCTTCAGACTTTCATTCTTCTTCAGAAGTTGCCTTTCGCAAGAACTTCCTTAGAGATTTTTAAAAGTTCAGAAGCTTAGCGTCTCAAGCTGTTGCAAGAAATGGCGGCAGTCAAAACATTAATACACCCAAAGTTCTTAACAGAAGACGTCTCTCTTATGGACTGCTTTGCAAATGCTACATGATTAGCATTGGGAGGTAAAATCCAGAGAGTTCCCTATGGCAAAGGAGACTCCCCACCCTGTGGTTCTTCTATGACAGGTGGATGTGTCCACCTATGAGTCATTTGATGGTTTACAGACGGGTGACCCGCACATCTCTAGGGTAAGGGGAGACATATGGTGGTCTCACCCAGGCCAAAAGGGTACTCCACCCATGCCATAAACCATGGCTTACAACACACAAGCAAACTGCCCCTACTTTGCTCCTCCTTGATCTTTCCCATTTTTACTGGGAGCAGACAAAGCATGATCCCTGGCTTAGCATTGCATTCTAACTAAGGATTGTGGCTTGTTTTGCTCCAATAACCACAATCAGTTAAGCCACGAATAAACCTTGCCTGAGGTTGGGAGCAAAACAAACCATGATCCCTGGTTCAGACATAACATGAAACTAGGGATTGTGATTTGTTTCCTGCCAGTGATTACCAGTATTTATTTATTTATTCATTCATACATACATACATACATACGTAAGGGACGTGGGTGGCGCTGTGGGTTAAACCACAGAGCCTAGGACTTGCCGATCAGAAGGTCGGCAGTTTGAATCCCCACAACAGGGTGAGCTTCCGTTGTTCGGTCCCTGCTCCTGCCAACCTAGCAGTTCGAAAGCACATCAAAGTGCAAGTAGATAAATAGGTACCGCTCCGGCGGGAAGGTAAACGGCGTTTCTGTGAGCTGCTCTGGTTTGCCAGAAGCAGCTTAGTTATGCTGGCCACATGACCCGGAAGCTGTACGCCGGCTCCCTCGGCCAGTAAAGTGAGATGAGCGCTGCAACCCCAGAGTAGTCTGTGACTGGACCTAATGGTCAGGGGTCCCTTTATCTTTACCTTTACATACGTACGTACGTACGTACGTACATACATACATACATACATACATACCCTGCCCATCTGGCTGGGTTTCCCAAGCCACTCTGGGTGCCTCCCAATAGAATATTAAAAGCATGATAAAACATCAAACATTAAAAACTTCCCTAAACAGGGTTGCCTTCAGATGTCTTCTAAAAGTCAAGTAGTTGTTTATTTCTTTGACATCTGATGGGAGGGGGTTCCACAGGGCAGGCACCACCACCGAGAAGGCCCTCTGCCTGGTTCCCTGTAACCTCACTTCTCGCAGTGAGGGAACCGCCAGAAGGCCCTCGGCGCTGGACCTCAGGCTGAACAATGGGGGTGGAGACGCTCCTTGATTATTGATTATTTAATTTCTATACTGCTTAAAATATTAAATATATATTGAATTGGTGTACAGGAAACAACAGACAACTTAACAAAGTATTACAAAATACACAGTTACAGATAAAAAATTATATTAACACAAACTTACTAATATATAGAAATCAATATCAATCCCTTTGCCTTCTGACACACCCTCTTTCTCAGCCTCTGGGTTCTGTTCCAGCCTCCCAAAAACCCAGCTGACTCACAGAAGTCTCACAGTGAGAAGAGTTCCTACAAACAGTGAACATCACCCTAGCCCATGGGTAAGCAAACTAAGGCCCAGGGACCGGATCTGGCCTAATCGCCTTCTAAATCCGGCCCGTGGACGGTCAGGGAATCAGCGTTTTTTTACATGAGTAGAATGTGCCCTTTTATTTAAAATGCATCTCTGGGTTATTTGTGGGGCATAGGGGCAGTGGACCGCCCCCTGCTGAAAAAGTTTGCTGACCCCTGACCTAGCATCTCACTCTAGCCTTGCTTTTTTAGGCTCAAGGTGCATGGCACTTCCTCAGGCTGCCCACAGCTGTTTCCCTTTCAGGTGCAGCAGGATTGTTGAATTTTCAGGGGGGGGGGCAAAGGATGGAGAAAAGGCCCCTCTCCACTCACAGCTCTTTCTTCACCCTCTTCTCCTCTTCCCCCTGTGCAAGCAGGGAGCAGCAATGAGGACCAATGCAGGCACAATTTCCTTGTGCAGAATAAGTCATCGTTTATAGCTTACCATAGCTGGTGGGCAGTCGAACTGCCATTCTCCTGTGGCAACAATTTTCTTCAATCTCTGTGGAGCTTGCAGACTTTTTTCTTCTCTACCAACCTCAGCTTTTAATAAAAAGTTGCCTGTGACTAAATTCTTCCTGTCTGAAACCTAGCTTTACCAGTCTAGGGTTTTACCAAGATTTTAATTATATGAAAAATAAAATCCCACAATAACTCACTAAGTCACTCTTCATATTTTATCCCACCATCTTCAGGTCAGGTACAGTTGCAGTTCAGACACAAGGGAGGAAGCCCACAGAAGGAGGAATGAACACTTTTCATATTATTATAAAGTACAAGCAGGAACAAACTCACTGGGTAATTTAAAGCAATGAAAGAAAAACAAGGCAAATACAGGAACTCTTAGGCTTGTGGTAACCCAAACCTTTGTGGAAAAACTTTTTCACTTTCTTGACAACCAGTTATGAATATCAGCAAATGGGACTTCTGCTTTTGAGGTAAATTTGCTGGGTTTAAGTGCAGCATGCTTAGACAACCCTTTTACGATTAAAAGAAAAAACAAAGAACTTCTACCCTCTCTGTCTCTCTTGTACAAAATGTACATGTTTAGACACATTAAATAGTAGTCAACCATTTATTAGAGTATACCCACTGAAATGAATAAAGATGACCAAGTTAGGTCCATTAATTTGAATGTCAACTCTGACTGAAACTTAATCACCAATAGTCTCAAATATATGAAGATAAAACTACGACAATGATTCCACCCCCGATTATTTTTACATGGGAAGAAGAACACGCCAAAACACATTTTTTGCTGTGCCACCCTACAAAAACAAATTGTCTGGGGCTAACACTATCGTAAACAGCACCACATGCTCAATATTTCTAGGAGCTTACTACCCAGTAATTTGATACATTCAGCTATCACGATAACAATGAGAATGTGGATTTATTTGCCCATAAAATACTGATTTTACAAGGCAGTCCTTGCCTGTCTACTTAAAGAAAAGACCCACTGAGCCTAGTGGTGCTCATGCCAAGTGTGCACAGGACTGCAGTCTTAGAAGCACAGGACTTTAAAAAAAAAAATACACAAAAACTCATACGGCAGAACCAGCAATGATTCAGAAACAACGGCTTCACGCACATCTCAACACACCTCAGATCTGTAGCTCAAGCCGGATCCATGGAAAGAAAAGACAGCAAACTGTTGGGAAGAAGAGCTACAAGGCAGAGTGCAAGTTTGTACAGACAGCCTTTGCAGGGACCAGATTTTCTGGGTGTGACACTTCAAAACAGTTCCATAGCCTCAAGCATAAAATGTGCCTCTATCGTTAGTTCTCCTTAACAATGCAGAGAGCATGTTACTGCCACTTACCACAGCAAGCAGGTCTTTCGCTGAGCAACAGAAATAAAGGCAACATAAAGTTGTGTTTCTGCATGTTGGCGTCTCTGTGATCAGGTACGAAGTTTGTTTCATTCTCCCTTAGCTGTACAGAACATGTACATTTCCTGTTTCCTGCCTCTGTGGTTGGATGTGTAAGATGCCTTAAGGAGATACACTATGTCTGATTGCTCGTAGGAAGTGATGCAATTTAGTTTGGGCCTGTCAAATGAGCAACGATTGCTGATTCAGCTAAAGAAACCACCAGGAAAATCCACGTGTGAGAATCTCGCAATCCTCTCTTGTTTTCAAGATCTGACAGTCTCTTTCCCACCCAGACAAGAATGCCTCAAATATATCTAGTTCAGTGATGAAGTACATGCCTTGCATGCAAAAAAGTTTGGATCCTTATCATCTCTAGGTAGGGCTGGGAAATATTCCTGTCTGAAATCCTCAGTTGCCACTGCTAGTCACTGTGAGTTTGATAGAGCAACAGTCTGACTTGCTTTAAGGCGGCTTCTTATATTGCTTTTAAAAATGAAAGTTTGCTTCTCAAACTATCTGATGTGGTGGACCAGCAATTCTTCGCACACACAGTGTGCCAGGAACTGGTACCCAGGGCCAGCCCACCCATGGGGGGGTGAAGCACCTGCCTCCGGCGACAGACCCCCTCCACTGTTGGTACCACTGCAGACACCCTGTCTATACCACCACTTCTTCACCAGCGGGATCTCACTGGAATATCATATCTTACCAGAACTCACCATTGTTGCTGCTTCACAGGCGCTGCCACCAGACCCAGATAAGGGAAGTTTTGGCAATTGGGCTGCACCTTCCCATTTTGCCTCAAGCAGCGAAATGGGACAGGCTGCCATTGACAGGACTATATTTGGTCCCTGTACCAGCTGACCACTAAAATGGGACTTTTTAAAAAATTGCAAAAAGCTTTACATGCTACCCCAATCTCTGAGCAGGGCGAGATTCCAGAGGTTCCAGGCACTTACCCAAGATTTGTGTTACCTTTGGAAATGAGGCACAGCTTTATGTCTTTATGATATATGGCTTACTTACACATCAATACCACCTGAGCCTACTGTGGAGGGTTCCCAGCACTATACTCCAAGAGGGTCTCTTGCTTCTCCCATAGGCACAGTGAACCTGGATCCAGCAGAGAAATCAGCCATGCCCTCTGACTCCTTTTTACAGCCTCTCACAGTTTTTGCCAGCACATCACTGCCAAGTACCATTTGAAAAACTAGCCTTTTGTCTCCTGCCAACTACCTCTCTACATGAAGGAGAGGCTCACACCCCTATGCTGTTAGTTGCCCATCTCCCTGCCCCGTTTGGTTAATGATTTGGCCGCCATCAGGCTTTGTTCCCCTAACACAGGGGTAGGCAACCTAAGGCCCATGGACCACAAGCAGCCTATGGGGGTCGTTTAACCAGCCCATGAGCCACCCCTGAACCGAGCTGCCTGCTTGGTGAGTCCCCACAGCGTGGTGTGGGGGCTTGCTTCCGCGGCGCCGGAAATTGCGTCTGCACAGACGCAGATGCCAGAAATCATGGGCGCGCGTAATCCAGCCCACGGAGGGATCTCTGCTGGAGTGAACCAGCCCAGGTGAAATAAACCTTGCCGACCTCTGCCCTAACAACTCTCACTCAGCAAGCCATCATCAGGTTGTTGGGCACAGTTTCATTCCCCCAAACCTTGATTAGTTCTCAATTTTATTGGACCCAGAAACTTAGAGTGTCTCACTCCCCACAAACTCATAACACTATTTTTGTAGACATATAAAGAGTTCTGGGAAGCTTGAAAGCTCGTACACTGTTTTGTCCCAAAGCAGCACAGAAAACCCGTGGCGCATGTGAGTTATGTTTCATAAGCTCAGTGGCAGAGATCACAAGCTCCACTTTCTAAAATTCCCAGGTTCAAGCCCACATCTCTCCAGAAAGCATTGAGAAAGACTAATGTCTGAAACCTTGAAAAACCTCTGTCAGACTGAGCAATCCTTCTATGATAGGGTTGCCCTGTTTCAAAAATTTGTTGAGCTTTTTTTTTAAAAAAGGTAGTTTTTGGACACTGCTTCAGACTGCAATATTCCGGTTATGTCCAGGAAATTCCAGACGTATCACACCCCTAGCTATGATTCTATGATTCTACAAGTTCTGTCTCGATATGAGGCATCTACCTACGATCCTCTCCGTTTTCACATCAGAAATAGAAAAAACAGACCCACATCCTTGCATACAGATAGATAGTCCTGTTTGTGCACAATCCTGAGGAGTGTTCCAACACAAAAGTGCACAGTGTTTTTAACATTTTGTACAATGTCAAAAGGCAGAGCCGTTTTTAACATATCCCATGTGCTTGTCAGACTCATCCTCATTCAGCAAAAATAGGTGATGAGAAACTATTCTTTGTGGCAGTATCGTCTCCAGGGGAGTACTTGTGGGCAATTGCGTGATGATCCATATCGATTTAACAAGCTGTGCCGGCCTTAGACATTTTCACACCCTTCTCTTTTATTTTTTTAATGACACAGAGGGGGAGGGAGGAAAAGAGGGTGGGAAATTGTGCTGCCTAGAAAGCGGCTGCGCACCAAGATTGATACAGCTCCCTTCATGTAAGGCCTGCCCTGTTAGTTAGGAAATGCAGAGGGGAAAACTGCTAGGATCACTAGGCACCTCTTGGCACATCAAGTGGCTTCTTCAGAAAGAGACTGCAAACCATGAAGATGCTGGTTTTTACAATGGATAATTACCAGTAGTTGAAAATGTTGCGGTGGATAACGGATTATCTCTATAACTTCCTTTTTATTGCATTGACATACAATTCATACCCACAGAAAAGAGCAGGATGAAATTTTAAAAAATGCTCATCCTGTTATCAGTGTTCGGAGTATTTTAGATGGTAACCCACACTACTGGATGCTGGTTCCCTCCCCTACTAGCCCCAAACCAATTCACACAGCTATTTTTTAAAAGCATTTTTCAGGTTGTAGATAATTAACAGTTTTTCCACCCTGGATGTTTTGCTTGTGCATAGTTGGGGGAGAATGGAGTCAAGAGATTTGGATTCACACACACACACACACACACACACACACACACACACACACACTGGTGCACAGACACATTCAAAACTGAGATTACAGATTATAGAAGAGTTTGGATTTGATATTCCGCTTTATCACTACCCTAAGGAGTCTCAAAGTGGCTAACAATCTCCTTTCTCTTCCTCCCCCACAACAAATACTCTGTGAGGTGAGTGGGGTTGAGAGACTTCAGAGAAGTGTGACTAGCCCAAGGTCACCCAGCAGCTGCATGTGGAGGAGCAGGGACGCGAACCTGGTTCACCAGATTACGAGTCCACCGCTCTTAACCACTACACCACACTGGCTATAGTCTTCATTCCTTCATTCACTTACAATCCATCTTTCCTCCAGTGACTCAAAGCGGCCTGCATGGTTCTCTCCCTTCCACCCTGTTATTCTCACAGCAGCTCTGTAAAATAGATAAGACTGAATGGCTGATACAGAGCCAATGCTGAGCTTCATGGCTGAATGGAGATTTGAACCCAGGCCTCCTTAGTCCTACTACAATGTTGCATTGTGTGAGTTTGTGGTGCTGCTGCAGTATTATTATTATTATTGAAAAAGAAAATACACCCTAACTGCTCACTGTGAAATCACAGCTGCTATGTAGAATTTATTTATCCAGTTCACAGTTACAAGGAAGCAAGTAATGTTAGGAGCCATTCATACAATACATTTACACTCACAGTCACACATGAAAACTAATCTCAAGAGCTGTTTATGTCGTTTTGCCCTCCAACAGTGCCAGACAGATCCTCGGTTATCAGAGCATGAAGCACAAATGCACAGTGTACACATCAGACACACCCTCGGTCTGAATTTGCTGGCTGACAAAGGGAGAGCAAGTATGTGCATTCTGGGGAGCCTTGTTCTGTGATTGGTAGCAGCCCAGGAGGTGGCTAATATGTCTTGGCTCAGCCTGCTGCAGCAATTAATCTTTCTTAAAAACATGGCTGCTTTTATAGGTCATCAGTTACAGTTTCTCAGCTATTATCTCTGAGAAATAGGTCAATGATTCATTTACTGGCCAGCTTGTTAATGGCTTTACAATGCTAGTATTAATCTGCTGGCTAGCGATGGAGCCAGTTGTTGGTTTGTTTATTAGTGGCTGTGTGTTTTGGAGTGCTCTACTTAACAGTTATCAAAACACAAAAACAAGGAGCCAAGCTGGATGGAAATGTAGGAGGCGGAACTGAAAGTACTAAAGAAGGGATCAAGGTTTGCTGCCAAAGTCACCTAACAAACCAATCTTCCCAGACCGTAGCCAGTTTAAGCCGATAACCTCACACTTTCTCCAGGATACGAATAACGAAGAAAGTAGGAATTTGGCTGGAGGTTAACCTCAGCCTGGCTTCACCAGATCTGCTTTCCAGCACTTGTTATGGGGATCAACTCTGGAATATATTATGATTATGATTAGATTTCTTACCTACCCTTCACCATGAGGTCCTAGGGTGGGCCACAACCATTTAAAAATATGATATAAAATCAGTTGAAGCAAAGTATAGTCAAAGGAATAGGGTGGGACCTAAATATATATCCATATATGTATTGACAGGCATCAAAGTTCAGGATAAAGAGCCTTCAATGAAGGACAAAAACTACATAGTATTTATAATGAATGTAAATAAATACTATATTAATAATATTTATTTGTTTGATTATTTATTTCTCTGGTTTCTAAACTGCCCTCCATCCAGTATAGATCCCAGGGCAGATCACAAAAACTTTGTAAAAGTGACACCCACATACCAATTACTAGGGGGTTTTCCACGGCTACCGTACATTACTCATCAACTCCCCCTTCTGCCCCACCAACCCCTTAGCAGGGGAAATTTAGTTCTTACCGCATGAGCCAGCTTTGCCAGGTGGGTGGGGCTTGCACCTGCCACTCACATGACATTGTTATCCCACCGCATGGTTGATGGGTGGGTTGTCCCGCCCACCTGTCAAAATCCATTGC